TCCTCATTTTCCTATTGTACATCTCCTTGTCCTCAGATCAGAACCACAGCTTCACACGTCGCATCTTTTTCTTTCTTCCTCTCCTCAACCTTCTCAGTGGAGACCCAAATTTTTCTCCACCATGTCCCTTCACYGTCTCATACTTCACAGCCCCAGCCTTAATCCTCTGCCTCACAGATGCCTGTCCTCATGCAGCTGAGTAAATCAAGGCACTACTGCATTGGGTGATGCTAAGCATGAGAATGGAACAGAAACAAAAGCAATGCACTGAATCCTCAGGCAGTATTGGGCTGCTGCATGTCRTCTGATCCATGGAGGTGGTAGGACTGAGACTCTGCATGCTGTAATTATTATCAAACAGCTGATGGCAGTCATCTGATGGGGACAGAAGCCCATAGGAACACCACAAACCCCTGAGTGGTTACCTTACAATTATTTAAGGTCCCACCTAAAAGAGTACTGTGCACAGCCAGACTGACTTCATATTCTGAAACAAAGGGAGAGAGTGAAACGTCCCTCCTTACACAGCACASCACAGCACAGCACAGCACACCACATCACCCCACCCCACCTCAAGGCCCTGGCAGAGCTCAGTTCCCATCACAGCTTTGGCAGTCCAAGCAAAACTGGAGTGTATCCGGAACCACATCTCTTCTCTTTTCACACACCCCTATTCTGGTCCCCTGGRGAGTCACAGAGCCTGCTGAAGACCTCAATGTTCTTGAAACCATAAACAACCTCTTGTKCAAAGGATGAAGGAACTTATGTGCAAAAAGCCATCTATCTTCAAGTGAAACTTCACCAGCTGAGTCCTCACCCTGTGCCCAGCCGTGCCCTTCTCTGTTAGTTGCATTAACAACCCACTTTCCTGTAGGTTGTTTCTTCAAGGTCAATAGAAAATATTTTATTTGTGTTAAAATGCAAAGTTGCTTTTGCAAAAATAATCAAATGTCTTTTGCTGATAAAATAGAGAAGATATTTCATGTTTCATGATGCAAAGGCCTGTTTAAGTAATTCTTGATGGCATAATAAATTACTTGACTAAGTGAAGTGCATCACACTGTGTACATAGAAACCTTGGAGTTTGTGTACCCATATTTGCCCASAGCATTCTTTCTTGTTGCATTTGCATCTTTTGCTACTCATGTCCCTGTTTATATATTTACCAAACAGCTCAGGTAGCCAAGCAATTACAATAACAAATGTATAATATGCAGTAAACGCTGTATCATGAGGTACAAAGTATTGCTGYATGGATTCAGGCCCTCATCCAATAACCAGTTAATGCAGAAAGAAGATTTCATTGGCCTCARTGTATTTTTTCACTGTATCTTTTCTGGCACTAGAATTTAGTTTGGAAGGCATAATTAAAATTCAAATGTTATATGTGTCTGGTATGGACAAGTGACATAATTTCTTGCAGGCACCAAATGTTCTATGCTGCAACACGTTTTTCATCTCAAACCACAAACCACARAATACTTGCCGATAACACCTACTTTTGTTCAGGTGAATTAATATTAAAGCTTGTTATCATTGCCTTCCATATTTTGTTAAGGCAGAAGAAAATATAGCATTTTTAAACAGCACAATAACTTMTCAAAAAGAAAAACATTTGGCAACMAWGCATTTTTTAACTATGGTGTCTTATAGTCRTCAAGATTGAGTTTGGGAGTGGGACCAAGATCACTGGATTTTCAGGAGTTTCTGTGTTCCCTTGTTGATGTCACTTGATGTTTACATAGGGAGGATTCAAGTGCATCTGGAGCTTTCTTGGATTCATGTCCTTGTAATCATCTTTCTGCCTCAGTCTACATTTKTCRAGATGGAACAGAAGGAATGGGAAAGACCAGAACAATCTCTGCTAACTTAATACTTCCATATTCCCAGTGGTCCTAAAATAAGTTCTCAAATTCCTTGTTGCAAATGAGAGAGTCTCRGGATTCCTTCTTCTCTGGCAAATGCTTTCATCTCTTGGGTGTAAAACAGCTGGAATAAAGGGACAACTTGTTTTCAACACTGACAACAGCATCATTTTCAGTCTTCTGTGTGTACTCACCCAGATTTCAGGCTGTTCTTTACTTAAACCTGGATCCTCAAAAAAAAAAAAAACAAAACTAGGTGCGATGGAATCCCCTCTTCTCAACAAACACTTCAAGCTAATTWTCAAGGGATTGACTAATGAGGATTACATGTTTACAAGTCAATGCTAGAAAAATAACTGCCACAGACTTTTTAAAATAATTGTATGGGTTACAGACCTTGCTAGGATGGGATTGTATTAGGTGAGATTAAGGTAGCATGGGTAGTACTCCATGATTTTTAGTTTGTTCTTGTCCCTCACAAATGGTACAGAAGAAGCTTTTAGCACAGAAATCGAAGGAAATGGTGCATAAGTTTCTGGTGTAGGTACTGTTTTAATATTTTAGGAAAGGTTACCAAGGCAGTGGATGGAGAAGCTRTAATGTTTAAAGAGCAAGGAGATGAAAATAAAACAGTCTCAGTAACTTYATTAATGAGATAACAATAATAAATACTCATAAACTGAGGTTTGATTTGGTGTTTGAAAATTGTCCTTTGGCTGTTTAATTTTGGTGAGTAATTACCACGGTAAGAGCAAAATGTCTATTTTCCCATGAATTGGCTAAGGAGAAGAGAGCCACAACTCTGGCTGAAATAACCATTAATGGGAAAATTGTGTCTTGAATCTCTGATGTGTTTGAAAAGAGAGAGAACATTTCCTTCATGCTGACAGACTGRAASTCRAYTGAGAATTAAATGCASAGAAAACAGCTGAATGTCCTGAACCTGACATTTTGTTATGCAAGTTGACTGCTTCTCTGAAGCTGGCCTCTGCTGAAATCCCTCCCTTTCCTGAGGACAGGCAATTGGAAGCTTGCATGTCAAGTTTTGCCCTTTCCCACCTCATATCCCTCACTTCCTGTATTCTTTCTCTCTGCATTCCAACCTAAGACCAGTGCATTCTCTCATACTCCCATCTGTTGATCTTTTCCTTGGAACCATCATTCTTTAATTTCTTGAAGAATATAGCATCTTCCTCATATTCTCCACTTTACCTAATTATCCAGAAGATATTTTTTTCAGAAGTAATTTTTTTTTTGCTCTGAAGCCCAAATAAAATTTCAAATCACCTTGAAAAGCGAAGAATTACTAAAACCCCATTTTTTTTTCTTTGACCTCTTCATTTGCTCCAATTAATTTCCCCTCTGTTTTGCCAGAGAATTCCCTGGTTTTACTCTTCCTTGTGTTGCCTTGACCTTTCTTCATTTACTTTATATTTCCAGGAAGCTCATTCCTGACTTTCTTGCAGTGTAGGTGCTGCTGTTGCTAGAGTTGCCAGTGAACTTCTGCCTTGCTCACCATTTCCTAATTCACCTGTTCTTAACCAACTCACATGCTTTTTTTCTACTCGATTTTCAACCTCTTCTGGGCTCTCTTTTAGTTCTGGCTGCCCTTTCACTTCGTGCCTCACAACCTGGCAGGCTGAATCAGAGAACAACAAAAATCCACTCAGAGGAATATAAGAAACGAGGGATCTACGGGAAGTAATGTGACATTCTGGCAATGACTCAAGGAAGAAGAAAGAGTCAGAGCCCTTTCTGCTCACCCTTACTCCACCCATATGAGCTGCTCTCCACACTCTCCTTCCTGTGTGCTACACTTGGCTCTCCCCTCATCTCCATGGTCACCTCTACAGTCTTTTCTCACAACATGCTTGAGCCATGAGGCTTAACAGGAACTACATGAAAGCCCTGGAAAGATATTCAGAGAGTGAGCAGAAATTAGCTACTCCATGGGTGTTCACTTAGTACCTGAAACAATTATCCATTGCATTTCCAGGTGAAGCTGGGGAAAGGCTAGCCTTCCAAGCTGAAATGTCTCTTTCATACATGTCTTCCGTATATTTCTGTAGTGTCTATAGCATAAATAATGTCTGGTTTATGTGTATGGACATTGAACCTTTGCTGAAAGTAGATCTGTGTATATTGTCCGTGGAAGGAGAGTCAAAACAGAGAAAGTTGGGATATACATTTATAAGAAAAAATAACATCTCAAGCCACACCAAAACCAATCCCCCCTTCTCCCTACCGATCCAACGTAAGAACAAAAGAACAAAAATAAAGGATAAAATCATGACCTCTGAGTTCTGCAAAAGGCTTTTCTACTCACTGCATAGGATGGAGTCACTTCTATCAGTCAAAGCAGATATTAAACAAATTTAGAAATGTGTCTGAAAAACTGTGAAATTTATCCCAGATGTTTCTGAGTTTTTTCAAAGCTTACAGGAACAGCCTTATAATGGGATAGATTATACTCTGCAACTAAAAGGAAGGAATAAAGCTAATAGCAGTTCTAGAATGTTCTTGAAATTAATAGAAGATCATGTACAGGACATCATATTAAACAAGCCTGGTTCATGCCTATGAACACAGACCTCATCTTTGTGAGATGTCCAATCAGATCAAAAGCTTCTTTGTGGACTCAGGAAATGCACATGAAGGCATAAATGCTAAGTAAAATGACAGGTTAGTCTCTTTTGGCAATACAAATATTTGAAGGTGAGATTTTCCAAATACTTCTTTTACTAATATGAAGTCTAGGCACTCATTTCCTGGGGCAAAGGAAGATCAGCTTCYTCAGTGCTACAGGTTGTGTGCCCAGACAATATGGTGCAGCCACACCCAATATAAACTCAGGTTGCGTCACAAGGTCCTAGAATAACTTTAAAATAAATGCAGATTAGCCATCAAATGAGTATTTCTTATGATTCTCCAAATCAGTATCCGGTATATACATATGGTTCAGTTCCAATCAGTATATTTTACTGATGCATCTTTTCCAGGTCTGTTGTATCAGCAGAATTCTCTGGGGCACATATGTACCCACCATCATCTAAGGTGTGAATGCAGCAAGCACAGGCAATGCCTGCCCAGTGTTAAACTGGCTGCTCATGTCTAGTGTGTTCAATTAACGTGCTCATGCTACACAAAACACAGGAGCACGGGACAGAACTTTCTGAGCTGCTGTCAGCTATCAGTGGGGCAGCCATGGAGGGTCATGCAGAACCATCTGGAGGTGCTAGCTTAGCTCATAAATCAGTCAGGTATCTCCACAGCTGTGTTAAACCTGAATCTCAGAATTCTGTCTCTTAGCAAAGCTGTTTGTGCAGAGGTGTTGAGAATCAACTAAGTGAATCCCTGAGCAACCTGATCTAATTAAGCCTGCTTTGAGCAAGATATTTGACTAGGTGATGTCCTGAGGTCCCTTCCTGCCTAAATTGTTCTGAGTCAATTCTAATGCACCTCTGTTGCATCAAGTTCCAGTAGGAGCGTCATTCCTATACTGTGCTTCATAAAAAAATGCTAAGATTACCCCTAGTTAAAAAAAAAAAATTAAAAAATGTTTGTTGTATTGTGGGCTAGCAAGTGAAATGCCTAATCTAAGGGAACCAGTGCACTTCTCTAGGGATCCACGCTGTTCCTGAGACAGCTGCAGCAAACCTGCATCACATACAAACTTCATAATGCACATGTGCTGCACCTACAGGTATGCAGTGTGCGGGGTCTGACTGATTTTCTAACAGTCAGAGAAATAAGAAAACTTCAGGTTCTTTGAGTAAAAAACTATAAATATTTGATTCTAGTGTGTGAAAAGAGCACCTCATGKCCAGAGTGGTGAAAGCAGCATGGTATTTCCAGATTTAGAACACATTAGATTCTCTTCATAATGCTTCATTGAATAAGATGATTATAGTGAAAGGACAATTAATGACTGTTTTCCCAAGCACAGACCAGGTCTGTGAATGAAGTGTCAGCAAGGAGCAGTTCCCTGACAAGCAAACAAGCCGATGGTGTTTGGAAACTCCCTTAGAAACACGGGTCCTTTGTTTCATTTCTCACTGTGCAACGTGACAGTGAGGAACAACCAAGGTGAAGCTGATGTAAACTGGAGAAAACATATCATGATCTTCCTTCAGTTTGCATCCTGGGAACGTGAAGGACAGGGTTGTAAAGCAAATGAAGAGCATGCTCCTTTTCCTAATTTTGCTGGGAGCAGTATCTGGTAAGAACATGATTTCATTATGCTGCTAAAATTAGAATGTTGGCTGTTATACTTCCTCTTGGGAACTTTGTAATACATATTTAGGGATCAGACATAGATGGGAAAAATCAAGTAACAATTACTTTCCTGCTGAAATAGATTGGGCTCTGTGGTTACAGCACTATAATGAAGAGAATATGACTCTTTGCTAAAACACTTTCTTGGATGAGGCACTTCATTTATAATAGCCACTGCTCAGTGTGACAGCACTGGAGTGGGAAAGGAGGTCAGGTCTCCAAGAAACAATAACTAGTAGTTATAATTCGGTATCATCCTTTCAAATACTGATAACATTTTTCTTTGATAAAGTAAAACAAGCAACCAAACAGAACCAAACAGAAAGAAATCTGTGGAAAATATTAGTAGGATAACATCACTAACTTTGATCAGCCTAAATACATGAGATATTTGCCAATATGAGTATTTGTACATTAGCAGCTTAGTAGATCTTCAAACTGTCTGAAGTCTGTGTGGCTCATGAAACACTGGTATTGCTTGCTGTAAGTTACCTGCTCAGGTAGGGCCACTTGGCTTTCAAGGAACTGTAAGTGTTCCATCATCCCTTCAGAATCTGTCAGTATTTGGTGGTTTTCCTGATGTTCCCAAAACTGTGATTAGGACACTGCCTGCCAAATTCAGCTTTCTTTGAAAAACACCCTTTTTCTAACCTGCGTGGTTGTGGATAGAGCAAATCTTAAAGATGTTACTTAAGCACACTGTAAAGGCTGGCACATCACAGATAAATAAGTCTTAAATACACATACATTTCTCCAAGCTAATCTCATTGCTTTGTCTTGGACTCAGCATTTGTCAATGATTGCCACTGATAACTGATAAATAATGTATTAAATTGCTTCAGAAATATTTTGTAAAGTAAAGAGGCAAGCAAGTACTTGTGAACATGGAAGGAGAGCTTTTGTAAAATTGGTTGGAAAAAGAAGCCATTTAGATGCAGTATATAAAATTTCAGTTAAAAATAAAGAGTACGAAGTAAGAACTTTTGAATTAGAAAGATAAAATCTGAATAAACAGACAATGAAATCTTTGGAGATAATACAAAAATAGCAACTCCTTTCTACATTTCAAAATGCTGTAAAATATTTCATTGTTTTTAGAAATGGTTTCCATTAATGAACTGTGGTTTGATGAGGGAACTGAATTCATCAAGTACTGTCCACAGGAGATTACATTCGAAGTTCAGTTCCACTTATGGATATGTATCTCCAGAAACCCCTCTCAGCCCAGCTTCATTTGCATGGGTGATTTTTGTTGATGATGTTTTCCAGAATCTGGAAGAATAGTAATAAAAGCATAGTCCTTCACTATGTCTTGCTCCTGCTGAAATAAATCCGTGACAGCTCAGCTGAACTCAGTCCCACCAGGGTGTCAGCGTGACCTGTTCAGATTAGCTCTTGCAGGCAGTTCCCACCCTAGTCTCCCACATCCCAGCCTGTACCTGWAGATTATCTCCAAAGCTATTTTTTCCATACATGCCAGAGTAATCCCAGCTGGATCAGCAATCCATGAACCTGCTGTATCTGGAGTGTGGGAGTAGGAGAATCCCCATGCAGCTATGGAGAGGCTCTTAAGCTGCCGCCCTAATGGTCTCGGGCTAGTTTCTGTATCAGCTTTTTATCTTGCAGCTCTGCAGCAAAAATAGACTTCATGGGGCTTTTGCTACACAGTTGCTGGTGTATGAGCAGCCTGTCCAGGCCCTTGAGWGGGCAGTATCTGTCTTCCTCTTGGCACACAGTGTGTGGGAAATTCRACCAAACACCGCCAGCTTTCTTGGAGAGTGTTTTGGACGAGTCAGTGAAACATCCCCAAGCAACAGTCAGCCCTGCCATAGTCTGGTGTTGAGGTACATACCAGTTCAAGGATGTGACATTGCTGAGGTGCTGTTCCAGGACATCAAAAGGCACCCTGATTTGTGTTTTCTACACACTCTTCATAAGGTAAAGCACAGCAGGCCTTTGTCAAAAACAAGAAGCAAAAACTAGAAGCTAAATGACAGAGAAAGCAAAACGCTTGGTTTGGGGCATCAAGAGGTCTTGACAAACAAGGAGTGCATGCAAATCTGTTGGATGCCTCACTACTATGTGCAACTTCCATGTGGCTTTGAATAGGCTTTTGTGGGCCTGCATCTTCTCCAAAGAATCCACATTGCTCTTCTGTGCTCAAAGCAGGAGACATGACAGCACAATTAYTGAAATCTTTACTAACTCATACTACTCAAGAGACAGGCTTGCACATAGCTGCTGTAGAAAGAATTAGAAGAGGGAAAGTAGAGGATATAGGTGCTGGAGAGAGTGTAGTCCACAAAAAAAAATTTCTTCTTTAGTATCTGTGTCTGTGTGATTCAAGGCACTTTTAGATGTATAGTGAACAGTGGCAGTAATTAGTTAACAGAGGGCAAAATGCAATAAGAGAAACATCTTTGGCTTCCTTGCTTCTGTACAAAGACGTATATAAAGGCAAATGATGTAGTAACAATAATGTTTTACCAATAGCAGCTCTAGATGACAACACTGTAGGACTGAATTACAGAAAACATTCATTCTTTTGCCATTAACACTGGATTTACTACCACACAGTGTCCTCATTCGTAAATAAAGAGAGATGACAGCTCTTGACAAAAGCTGTGTACTTGCTAACCCAAGGTTCTCAGAAGTAATTTTATGTTTGTGTTCATCTTGCAGGAAGAAGAATCCAGTTGCTTAAGGGCTTACCTGCAACAAGCACTGTTGAAGAAAACTCAGCAKCTGGTGTTTCAGTCTATGACTTCAACGTGACTGTTTCTCCATTGGCTTCTGGAGGCGTTGCAATTCTTCCTACCATAGTAAATTCAAATCCACTTACGGAAGCTTTTGACATTGAGTCAAAAGGAGGTCTTGAATACAGGGTGAGTTTTAAATTTAGCTTGAGCAATTTTMAGTWATACAGGGTAAGTTATAAGTTTAGCTTGAGCAATTTTCAGTTRTAGGCTGATGTTTCCTGGATTACTGAGCACTGACACTGCACACTGTCTCATCTTTTAAGCAGAAAACAGTTTTAAATGCAGACTGTGTAGTAGTCAATGATGCTGTGAGAGRTATGACAGAAGAATAACAATAGTGATTATGATTTTTTAATTGCATCTAGGAAAAATCACTCATCACAGTAATTCCATCAATTCTGTGCTAGAAAAAAATGTGGTTTTTAGAAAWTAAGAAGTGAAGAAGAACATGGAGGACCTGCTTCTGTTTTAAGGTTTTATCCATAGCTTTTCAGCCTAATATGTATGAATTCACCATGAATTGAAAGTGGCTTTGTTAAATCACATACAGCTTCTGTTTGGCCACTCTCACTGAGAATTAAAATTAATTTGTCTCACTTCCAAAATAAACGAWGCTGAATCAGATCAAAGTAATTTTTTATTCTGAACAAAGGCTGTGACACATGAGGTAAGAAGTTATCACCCTTCCACACATCTGTGACCTGTTTCTATCCATTGCATGCTCTTGTCCTACGGCAAATGCAGAGCAATTTCCATTACTTCAGGCTGATTTTCTTTGTTGAATAAATTAGCAAGTATTAGCTCACATTTGTCACGGGCAATGAGTGTTCAGATGCATGATAACTTGTCATCTCATTGCAACTTGCTTGTATGTCTGAGCCTGAACAATGACACTGAAGAGTGGCTTTAATAGATGCAGATAAAAATGGTGTCGATTCTTAAAAAGGTTAGTTGAATATCCCTTTCTGGATGTTTCCAAGGAAGTTCGTGTTTTCACAGAACTGATACAACAGCTCTTTTCATGTTCTCTTTGCTGGTGTYTCTGGGAGAAAATTTGGGAAAAGTWAGGCTGTGACCCTAGGCAGTGTTGTGTCATGGATTTGATGTGCCTGTGGGGAGCTGCTGTGRCTCCCATACTTCAGCCTCCCAGCAAAGTGCAAAGCTCATTTTTGCCAACTCTTTGCTGGCTATTTACTACTTCCCAGGTCAGTGAAACAGTTAAAAAAACTCTCAAAAAAGCCCTCTTTCACTTGTGAAGCATAGGGTGTGGCTGAACAAACTCCTGTACTGGGTCAGCTGAAGAGATCACAGAATCAKAGAATTATAGAATATGCTGAGCTGGAAGATGCCTTAAGGATTAYCAAGTCCAGCTGCAGGATCTATGTAGGACACCCCAAGAATCCCATTATGTGCCTGACAGCATTGTCCAAAWKTATCTTTAACTCTGCCAGKTTTGGTACTGTGGCCACACTTCTGGGGAGCCTATTCCAACRTCCAGCCACTTCCTGGGAGAAAAACATTTTCCTGATRTCTAACCTAAACTTCCCCCAACTCYACTTCAYGATCCTTCCTTGACTTCTGTGTAACAGTCAGAAGGAAATGGATACATCTCTTAAACTGTCTCTGCTGTCAGTGAATCTATAATGTAAGACTGACTTCCAAAGCTTTATTCTGGCATTTTGAATTAAAGCTATCCATTCTGCTGAAACAAAACATAGCCTTTTTTATGCTTGCTTCCTCCTGTCCCATGCCATCTTTGTTATGATGCACAAAAATTGGTAGTGCTGCTTGTTGACTGGTGTATTGCTGCTTGTTGACTGGGACTTGAAGTTAATCTGGAGGAAAAATAATAGACAAAAAGTCCTTTTTTTTTTTTTTTTTTTTTTCAAACAACAAGGATGATGGAGACATTTTTGTTCTAGCAAAGTGCAGGGTGACACAAGGATGAAAATGGATGCCCAAAAAAACTGTAAACTGGAGACTGCTTCTTCCAAAGTGCCAGTTTATATCCATTTCATACCACAGCCACACTACCAGAATGGCCTGTGAACTTTTCTATATTTTGCTTGAACCGTTTTCAAGATTTCCTGAGTCATTGGAAGGACTAGAAAGAAGCATTTGAGCCAGTCATGAAAAAAAAAAATAAAGCAAGCTACATACAAATTCTGAAAATTAGCAGATAAGTGCTAATTACAACTCATAAAGTGAGGATAAATACACGTGATCTTAGTTCATTTATTTGATGAAGATTACTACTTTTAATTACTTACACTATGTTGCAGTAGATCTGTACAATAATTCACAAAAGTGATGTGATCCAAAACCAGATACCTCAGGTCTATGTACTGCCATTAAATCTTTGCTAAGATATAGAAAAAGGCACTATTTAAAGAAGTAATTACTGAGTTTTCAGATTAGCTAGTACCTGCTAGGACAGGGTCTTGAGTATTTATGAAGCACATTTACTCCTGTTTGCAGCAACAAAAAGCAATATCACAATTCTTGATATTTTTTRAGATTTGAGAAACTGAGAAAGTCACAGGTTCTGAGATCTAAGTCCAGTCCATTCCTTCTCATCTCACTCTTGTTTGAAGGCTCCCAAGAGCAGATGTATGGAATGCATGAAAACTTGCTGTTGCCTGAAACTACCTGGGTGCTCTTAGAGATGCTCTCTGAATATATTGGTGGTGGAATGGGGAGCAAGGAGCAGTGAAGCTCTCATGTGGAATGAGACAGTTTAGGGGTGACTCTAGATGTCCTTTCATGAAGCCTGCAGCTGCCTCAAGTGTGTGCAGTTCTCCTTTATCAGTAAGCTTTGCTYCTACCTGRAGGAAAGGTGAATGGTGRCTCACAGCCTGTGCCAGTGGCAAGYTGTTCCCAAAAMGGTTCAAAAACAACCTAGAAAGAGACCATTTAGATTCACATGGTTGCTTCCAAGGCCTTTATATAGGAGGGTAGAAGACGTGTATTTAGACAATTTAATTTGGCTGTAGTTACAGCACCAATGATAATATTGGGCTGTGAACTGGAGGGATTATCTCCAGAGCACATGATTTCTGCTTAGAACTGAACAGTTTGAAATGTTGAATTCATTGAATCTGTTTACTGTATTTAGAGTTCCATCACTCATTTTGGACATCAGCCTTTCCGCTGGTGTGACCAGATTTTTAGAATGCTTTTTCTGTGTTAGCATCATTTTAATGGGAAACTTGTATCTGTACAGTATAGGAGGAAAGGAGACCATCCAGGACACAGTTATTTTCTCCTGAAGTATTGTAACAAAAAGATTCATGAGGTTCCAGACAGCAGCTGTTTGATGTACCAGAAGGCACTAAACATTTGTGCTTCTGTTCACTCTCCTCCAACTGTTTTTGTTAATTGGCTGTATTTTGACTTCTGTCTTCTAAMTGTGCTGACATCCCTTTTGTGTTTGTCCTCTGGCCCACAGCATCTGATCTAAACACAAGGATTTATTTCATTGTTCTCCTTCTGCATCCTCTTCAGTCTCCTTTGTTCTGCAGTATTGTGAATACACGAACATGCTCCTTGTCACACACTTGTGAGCCCCAACTGTTCTTCTCCAGTTCCACAGCACCCTGCTACTGAGCTCAAGCTTCACAGTTTTTTTAGCTACACAAAAAACATAACTGTCACATTTTCCTTTCTTGTCCAAGAAAGGAAAGGCCTTGTTTTATTATTAGCTTCAGCAGTGTAGACGGAGGCATACAACTTTCAGCATCCTCCTGTTGCTCTGGACTCAGAGCAAAAAGAAAACCCAAAACAAAACAAAACAAATGTTTGCCTTATCAATCTCTCAAAACTCAAGGCCTAGGTTATTTTTTTCAATTAGTTCGACATTTTCCCCAAACATTATCTCTCAGATAATGTACCCATGAAGCTCCCTTCCTCTGTGTTTTTCCTGTCTTTTCCCAGATACAGGTTACACAAGGAAGACCTGCTGGACTATATGGTCTCCTGCCCCCACAGTCCATATTTCAAATAAAAGATCTTCCTCCTCATGCTCCTAACTCACAGAACAAGTGAAGCTTCCCTTGTGTCTTGCAAAGATTCCTATGAATTCGCGGTCTCCTCACAGCTTGACTGCTCCTGGAGCTTGGTGTGAAAGGCAAACACTTGGCAGAGAAACGTATCTGCAAGATGTAGTCCTGAATTTGAAGATGAAGAATTGTCTGTGAGGCAAGACAGCTCCTTCCAGGCTTTCTTCTCCTCAAACTGCTCCTCCCATAAAAGGTCTTTGAGTTAATCCATGATGAAACAACGTCTTGGTCTTTTCATTCTGTTTTTGTTACATTTTTTGCCACCTATGAGAAATGTGCCAACAAGTAAAAGGTTCTCTAAAACACTCACTCTTTACTGATGGAGAAGTGTCCCTTTATTTGTATCCACTCATTTAGATGATAATTTGAACTCTTGAACCATGTGCTAATAATAACCTTTTATTTTCAGGTTGTTACCACTGGAAAACCTGTCCTAGATTATGAAACGATGCCAAAGAGCTTTGATTTGCAGATTTTTGTTGAAGATACAACTGGAAGAACTGACCTTAAAGTATTGACTATTCAAGTAACAGATAAAAATGAACATCCAGTATTTCGAGGAAATATGGCAATTCAAAGTAAGATAATGGTAGAATTTGTAAAGAACAGTACTTGAAAAGATAACATGAGCTTAAAAAAGCCCCAACGTATTTCATGTCTGTAGCTAAAATAGTATRAGCATTYTTCTTTTGGAAAATAAGGGAGGAASAGGACACTATTTTTATCAGAGCTTTGTTTTACACAAAGAGTTGGTATGCTTCATATCTGGAAATGACCTTTTATTTTTCTTGTAATTTTGATTAAAAATTATTTAACCATTTTGAAGCGCCTGAAGAATTAAAAGAAAAAAATTATACCAGTTCTCTTATATATTATTATATATGTTCTCTTTAATTAGAAAATTGAAGTTTGCTGGGGTTATAACCATTGAGTATGGSTACATATTTCTGTAGTTTGTTGAAAATTGGACTAATTTGGACAAGAAAAATAAATTTCAACAAGTGTATATTGTATGTGCAAGAATTTATGTGGGAAAATCATAAAAACCATTGTTTTTCAGATGTTTTGTATCTGCATATAACATTTGCATCTTCACATGAGAAATTAAGTAGAAGATGAGTCTTAAGAGTGAGACTTCAGGCACTGTGATCTGTGGTGGTGCAAATGGAAACAGATAGAGAGTTTTGTCTCCTGCGTGGGGCACTTGATGTTGACCAAGTTTACTTTTAGGCTGAGGGAAAGATGCAATGGGGGGGGAATGGGCAGTAGCCTTAGGAATGAGGCTGGAGGGGCCAGACTGCAGCTATGGCCAGTGCAGGCTTTGCATGCCATGCTCTACCTGATGGGAGTGATGACACCGCCACTAGAAAGGAGAGGAAATAATTGTCTTACTCTCTGAGAGATCTTATCTTGCTTATTTTCAAATGAAGAAGACCTGCAAAAATTGTACCAGGATGCAATAGAATATGATGATGCATTTTAATATGTGTTCACATGCAGACAGAGCAGTTTAGTTCCCTTTATGAAGTTCTGAGAGCCTGTCTGAAGACTTGCTGTACTAACAGCACTGTATGCCCAAGCATATTTCAATATTCCATTTTTAAAAATCTGAAAATAGTAAACTGTGATGCCTTTGTGGCAGGTATTCAGCTGGCTGCTGATCCCCCCAGGTCTGGACTGACCACACTGGAGCAGTGCAGCCTGACTTGTGCCTGCTGCACAGGGATGGGTTCAGAGCAGCCTGCTCACATTCCTCACTGATGCCTCCTGAGCACATCGACATCCCCAATTCCATACAGTATTTAGTTTGTAGAGCAAATTAGCTTCCCCCAGGGAAGARGCTGTGTCATCTTCTCACTATAGCTGGAGTCTTGCATATCATGGGTGCTACTGGAATTTAATAATAATTACATGTGACACTTCAGGGGATCGACACAGCATGAAACACACTACGTGGGAGCTTGTTACAAATAAATGCATCAGCTAAGAGCTGCCATAAATTGGTGAGCACAGATGTCTGATCTGTCTAACTGTGTGGYTTTAGTTAACAGTACCAGCCACAATTAGACACTAATTGCGCATTCACTGTTTATGAAAAAGCATCTCCCTCTCATTAAACTTTACATTCATGTTGTTGTCCTTTGGGAACAGCTCATTACGCTGCTCTGGGATTCCCACTGCTCTGATGAGAAGCAACAGTCAGTAGGGGTCACAGTGAAAATTAATAGTCCAGAAAGAGCAGGTCCAGCAACTCAAAAGGGCATAAAGCAAATAATGTGATCTAAAGATCTGTTGTCCTGTTAGTTGCTCTGCCAAGGAGAGATAAGCCTGTGCCAGTGATCCAGGAAGGGATAGCCCAGCTGTGAGAATCCCTGGAAAGAAATGTACCTTGCACTGAATTATCACCCTTAGTAAAGCAAATATTTAAATCAGTGCAGACCATCCACTACTTATTTGCCTCACAGGCATAAAGAAAAAGCGAAATGATGATTAAAGGCTCTGGGTTCTCCTGGCAGGGCACAGGGTGTGGACAGGAAGGGATGGTGATGAGGACCTAGCACAGGACTGTGTTGTCCCTGTCTGCATAGTAAAAAGTCCCCCAGATGTAGGCCAGAGGCATAACTTTACTCCATAACCTRTGGACAGCTCAAGATGACCATATGGAAAGACCAGTCATTGCCCCSAATGCAAAAAATTCATATTGCAACTTAGAGTGGTGGTTGCCTGTTTATACATATGTAATTGGTTTATTTTTATTCTTTGAGTATTTGTGATCTTTGTGATACTTTTGGAATTACACTTGTGAAGTGAGAAGATGCAACAGGTGGTAATATGTCCTGACAGCTTCAGTGCATCAGTTTCTTTGCTGCTGTGTCCTTTACTTTTACCCAGATAACACTAAGTACACTTATATCCCTGCAGCTGTGACCATCTATGTGTTGGAAGGGACACCTCCAGAACGCATTTACCAAGTTGATGCAGCTGATCCTGAAAATGCAAAACTCAGAGTAAGTTGCATTAAACAAAAAACCTTAGAGATGGTATAATCCACTGTATCTGAAATGTGRATTACTGTAATCTTTCAACAGCTTCCTCCCTTATCAGAAACACAGGAAAAGGTCTAATCTGGAAAAAAAAAACCAAACAAAAAAAAAGCATATACTAAACTAAGAAAACCCAGCCTTAATGTTAGGACATAAATTGTATTTTAAGATCTCAGCCTTACAGAATTAAARGATATTGAAGGCAGAATTCAATATAGATAATCAGAGAGGCAGTAGAAATTGTGAATTGAAAATGAAAAAAAAAGGCTTGCGGGGTCTTTCTTGTAGATGAGGATGACTAAAAGTAAATAAAATTTTTTACCTTCTGTATCACAATGTAAATTTTTTTAAATGAGAGAGTAAGGAAATCACTTAAAAGGCAACCAAATCTCAGGTTTGACAATTCCAGGACAAACTGTGACCTYCAGTTACGAAAATGTGTTGGCTGATCTGAAAATCCTGTTGGTATTCAGAAAAACTTCTGGAAAGTGATAAACTGGTAGTTGGGGAAAAGTAACTACACTTATGTAAGAACTGTGTTGTATCTTTGCTTTGTTGACTTTGGCTTTGTAACATACAGCACATTCAAGAACTGAAGATGCTGCTTCAATGTTTAATGTTATTCAAGAAAGCAATTAGCTTTGAAGCCTGTCCTCRGTCTTCACCCTGTCAAACTGAGCTGGTGAGGAGGAAAGCAGAGCTGTGGGGTTTTAGCTCTCCTTTGTGTTGGAAAGCAATGACAGTGAGYTCCATGTGCCTTCTAACCCCTGACACATCTGAGGCATAAGAAACTGCARATAAAGAAATGCTTTTACATCCTTGGGCAGATGTGCTCAGTGGCTTTTGCAGGTTATTTGCATGGTGCATGACCTTCTGTTGTTGCATACTCCAGACTTTATGGGTATTATTAACACTTGCACTAGTAAGGAAAATGTCCTTGAGGGCTTATTGGTGCTGCCTTGGTATGTGAAAGATAGAGGGGAGGATGGGTGTGCAGTAGCTGCCTCATGGCTACAGGGAGCACGGTGCTGAATTTCTCACTGCTGTGTGCAGTGTTGGACTGCTCTGCTCCCTTCCRCACCTTTGCCTGGCCTGGTACCCATTTGTGCTGTGCAATGCACAAAGTGGCTGCTGCTATGTCCCACCTCTTTCAGCACTGGGCAGTTGTGAATATCCTTCATCCTCTCACCCTCATGAACTCTGTGAAAGTCACCTCATTGCCCTCTTCCATTATCTGGACTCCCAGACTTCATTGCCTCCTCCACAGCTCTCACATCCCCCAAATCCCACCTTGCCCCTTCTCTCCCTCCTCCTTTGTGCAGCCACTGCCACCACAAAGCTGATTTTTGCCTGCAGCATTGGGGCCCTGCTGGCTCTCCTCTGTGAAATTCTCATTGCAGAGCTGGAGTCCATAGAGACAAAGAACACTGTGGGCTCTGCTGTAGCTCAATGCCTGGGACTGTTCATGGGCTGTGAGCAAAGGTGGGGTGATCAGGCCCTGTTCTGGCATCTGAGTGTCAGCATTTCATTACAGTTTGGGGCAAATCCTTCTCTGTAAGCTGACCTGTTCTACAAGGCAAGGAATTAATGGAGGGATGTTTAAAGATAAAAATACTAATTCCCTGCTCTCTTCATTTCAGTATTCACTGCTCCCTGCAACAGTACCATTCTTGATCAGGGAAAGTGGAGCCATTTTTTCCACAAAAGAATTTGATTATGAGAAAGATCCACATTGGTAAGAATGTGTTTTATTCCCATGGCCTATTAGCTTATAGTAATCAGAGAAATGTTTTTTCATACACAGAATGATTTTTGTTCTGTTTTTCTTATTTAACAGTTACTTTTTAAATATAACAGTRACAGATCCAGATGGACTCAACTCAACTAAAACAGTGAATATAAATATAATTAACATCAATGATGAAAGACCTTACTTTACCATGTGAGTAAAATTTTTCCATTGCACTGAAAATATAGACATTTTCTCAGGTTTACTGCTTTGGCACCAATGGGAGGGTTTAACATAAGGGCAAATAATGCTGACAACAAAATACTGCTGGAAAAGGTATTTAAATTTTGCAATGATTTCTGTTCTTATTCTAGAAAGATTTGTCTTAATGTCCTTCATTTATTCGTATTTGTATTCTTAAGAGTTTAAAGTTTTCCAGCCTCGGACTTCATGCTAAGCACAGCCAAACAAGTTTTTTTTTTTACTTGTTAGCACTTAGAGAGGTTAAAGCTAAGCAAAGATCTGTGGACAAGTTCAGRCAAGGAGATTAATTTCACCCTGTGTGAATACAATCACATAGAGTTTACTCCTCATTCAGGTGTGCATTTCACCATAATGGTGTTTATTCATGCAGAAATGTCTAGACATAAAAAGGTCTCCCTTTTGATCAGTCTTCCTCTTCCCAGACACACTTGTAAACAATCCCCATGATCTTTGAAACATTGTTGTCTCTTACTGTGTCATAAGCAGGAAATCGTGTCATAGCACACAAGTCAGAAATAGTTTTTGAATGCTAGTGGAGTCAGGATAAACTGAAAATTTGCAGAAATGGGAACAAACATGCATGTTCTATGAGCAGGCTGTTCTGCAGCAGAAAGCACAATGGATGGTTGTTTCTGTGGCAGGAGCTTGACAATTGCTACAGTTGATCTGACTCTGTTGTTGATTTATCTTTGTCACTTGCATGAGACACTGATGGAATTTAAGGCAGTCATTATGTCTCCTGATTGTGAGACTCTACAACGTCCCTGCTGAGAATATTTATGATGGTTGCTCTCCTGCCATCTATGCAAAGGTGAAGAACAGGATGGCATCTGGGGCCATGCCAGGAGATTCCAGCCACTTGTTTGGGACAATCTTCTGGGTGTTTTTGGAGCCAGAGMAATGCATGGCTCCAGGGCTGAGGCCAAGGATCTGGACTTTGATGGATAAATGGGTGAAGAATCTGAAGAAACAAAAGAATTACATGTTAGAAATAGACATGGATTTTTGTTGGTGGTGTTTTTGCTACCTATTTAATACTTGAATGTCATGCCTGAAATAAACAATAAGGTTAACAGCTCATTCCATGTTACTGTACTTCTGCAAGCAGGAGGAATCCTCTCCCAGTGCCAACATCTGCACATTGTGTTCTAGACTAATCATTCACTCCTAATGTTGTCATTTCTGTGTATCCTTGTGTCTAGAATACTAAAAGAGCTCTTTTAAATATTTATCTAYTTGTTTGAATTAGTGAAAGCTGCAGTGACTTGAGAATCCATAACACCTAAGTTCTAAGACTCAGCTTTCATATGCCACAAATACAATCTTGTATTTGTTTGAATCTTTTCTCTTTTAGAGTGACACTACAGACCAAAAAGATCATCTCACTTTGYAAAGAACTTTAGATTAAATTGCACTTCATGCACTTCCTTAACATGCTCATGTACAGCCTGTCCCCTGCTACAATGTGAGCTGCATGCTGGGGCTAAATACTTCCTGACACTGTAATAATTAGTGCTGGGATGGGAACTGGAGAAACTTGACGAGTTAGCAAACCTCGTTTATTTTACCCCAATCACATCTGTCAAGAACAGAGTTTCAAAGGGTCTTTTTAATTGTTCCCATAGTATATGCAAGCACATCTGCTTTTGGTGTTCACAACACTACATTGGCATTCAACCTTTAGAAATTCTGRCTGTTAAAATCAATAGAAAACTTGTGGAGTCAGGAAAWCAAAGGAGAAGACAAGAAAACAAATATATGCTTCCTTTGCAATTACATTGCAGTGACTAAAAGGTCTGCTTTAACCATCCTGTAAAAAGCCACAGGCAGGTGGCAGGCAGATGGATGACAGGACACATCCCAGATGTAGCTGGGTAGGAAATGGCCCTCAACTCCTCCTCAGCTGTCCTGGTGCTTGGTGCTATGGGGATGTGCTCAATAATGTCCCACTTCTTCCCAAAAGATCCAGTGGAGATGGGATAACAACCAGTACAGRGTGCAGAAGGGTTGGTAGGGCTSTGAGGTGAGTTTGCTGTTCACAGAKAGGATGGAGATGGGCTCCAGTGGGCCTGGACAGTTTTGTACTTTGTGCCAAAACCAGTGAGAGCTGTAGGAGTGAGGGAGATCTGTTGTTTCTGCATGACTCTGGAAGTAACAGAAGAGCAAGGAGGGAAGMGTAGAGATCCAATGCCAAGACTGAGATAGAAATTTCATAAATATACTGACACAGCAGGCTTCAAAAACTCCTTGTTTTCTTCCCTCTGTAAGTTAGGTATTTTACTGGGAAAATGTAATTTCTCTCCTGTATGCTTGCTTCTCTTCATACAATCCAACCGAACAGCTGAAGACGGTGTTGGTCCTCTTAACCATTTAAAAAATTGCAAGTGGAGACCTGGAGGCATGGGATCTTYTGTTCTGTCTCTGCAATTCCCTGCTCCAATTGCTAAGTTCCCCATGATGTGCATTTTCAGAGAACAACAAAGGACTCATGCTTTCCTGTACTGGGAACTGCAGTCAATTACCAAAGCRGAAGCATAGGATGTTTAAAAAATGCAAAGAGAATTTAGTCCTGAAACAGACTTCTAATGCTTTTTTAACTCTTGAGCACCTTCAACTCCCTTTGAGTTCTGGAGTCAGGAGATGCTTGTGTGTCTKTGTGTGTTTCAGTAATATAAATCAGACTTCTGAAATTCCTTGCACCACTTTTTTTTTTGTCCTGGCCCATGCCTATTTTTGTATTTCAAGCACTGTAGTTGTCCACCTGAGTACCCATGTAAACATCAAACTACAACCACCGTAGGCAATCCTGCATAATTGCCTGTCAGGCCATATCTGACSTATAAAACTCAATTCATGGGAAATTTGGGAGCACTGGCATACCAAACAGCAGCAGTAGAGAACTATTTTTCCCAATGTAAAATGCATCAGACAGATGCTGCTGAGAGTTTGAGGCACATTCATCTTTTGGGCACCCAGAGTGGTCCTTCCTACCTTTGCCTACTGCAGGGACAACTCAGCTTTTCTGTATAACTGTTGCCCCCCAGAGGGTTCCAGCATTCATTCCAAAAGATTATTAACTACATTACTTACTGTATTTTTGCTTTTCTTTTGCAAAATGAAGGAATTAAAGCCAATAGCTTTATGAGCTGGTGGCTCTGTTAGGAGATAGATGGCATGACTTAATAGCTCCTTACCTCTTCATCTTCCATTATTCTGTGAAAGCCAAATTGCTTTTACCATGGAAAAGTTGCAGGGGAAGAACAATTTCTTGTGTGTCTGTGTTATGCTTTATGAGCCCATGCCAGTTCAGCTACTGCTGCACTTCCCGCTGGCAGAACCAATGACTGGGATATGTATCCAGCCATGCAAAAAGCCRTCTCTGAGCCCAGCGTGGCCATGGCTCTGCTGCTAAAATTGCCAGCTCAGCTAAGTCTGTAATCAGCTGCCCTTGCAAACAGGATGCATCTTTGCTGAATTTTATCTTGTAGAAAACAAAGAATCTACAGGATTCCAGAGGAGCAAAGCCCGGSCACCATTGTTGCCAATATAACGGCTAAAGATCCTGATGATGAAGACTCTTCCAGCAGACTTTTCTACAGCATCCAATCATCTGACAGATATTTCTCCATAAATCCAGGCAAGACAAACAAAAATGTGACTTCTGACAMCTTAAAAAAAMCCAAAACTGTCTACTTTGGAGAAGTTATTTTTGCCTTAGTTTTAAGTTTACTTACTTAACTTTATTTTGTGACTCCCTATAGCAGGCAGGAATGCTCAGTCCCTTATTAGGGTCAAATTCTTTGGTCAGCTGACTAAGACTTGGTAAGACATCTTGAAGAAAGTAGACCAAWGGTGACTTCTTGACAAATACTGACTTGTGGCTGGAGGGTGATGGTTCCCTGGGTAGAAATAAGATTGCTGACTTCCATTTAATCTTTGAGGACTGCAGTGACCCTTCTGGGGCTTCTGAAATAGCTGCAGGTGGTTAGACCATAATGYCCTTTCTCCCGTCTGAAATCCTCCCTAGCACAGAGTGGCACAGCAAATCTACATCTCAGGTTCATTGCTCCATTCATGACCCTCTTCACGCAAGGCCACCCAAAAGTCCTCTTTCTCATGGTGATYCTACCTTCATGCTCTCTAGGGTCTGTAATTCTGTTCCCAGAGTTTTTTGCTCCAGGGCTGGCATTCAGTGACTGCTTTACTCCTTGCCTGCTATTGCTTTAGAACTGCTTATCACAGTTGTAAGAAGTGCCACATAACAAAGAGCCCTGTGAACCAGGATGATCCTTAAATGCTTTAGATTCCCTATGCYCTTTGGCCATGTATTGCCACTCTCCTCCTCAATTCTGCTCCAGAATGCAGAGGATATATGTACTGTCTTTTACCGCCTTTGTGCTCTGGGAATATGACTTTTACTGTGCCATAAAAATCTTGTGTCTTTGAACAAAGGCTAACAGAAGTGAAAAACAAATATTGAGTGGCTGACCAGAGCACTTGGCACAGTCTGTCACATCTAAGAGCAGCTCTGTTGATCTGTGAGCAGATTTGGAGGTGCTGAAGGATGCTTGAATGATAACAGAGGAAAGTGAAGTTGTCTTACTTAGCTAGGGAGCAAGGGCAGCACAGGCATTAGCAGCTCATTGTCCTTGATGCCCTGTGAATGCACTCAACACTGGCTTGCACTGGAAGCTTGAGAGTAAGGGAAACATAATTGCGTTACAAACCTTCTGTTGAGGCCTCCCGAGGCATATTTTTGAGCAATGGTATCCAGCCGTCAATCTTACCCAGAATGTTCAGAGCCAYTTTGTATCACTTTCAAAATATAAATAAACCAGCCATGATTTGTACAGAGCACAAGGCTTTTTATTCTGCTACCTGTCTGTTGAGCTGCCCTGTCCTCTTGCACATACACCATGACTRTTTGTTGCTTCCTCGCACGGTGAATGTCTGACTTGTGGCTGCACTCTGACAGCCACTGGAGTGCTCCAGGTAACCAGGAGAATCGACCGGGATGCGCTCCCACTGCGGCTCCATCCGAACATCTCCCTGCTCGTCTGGGTGGAGGACAGCCCCAGCAGTGGCCACCTCAGTGAAATGGAGATCACAATCATTATTGATGATATCAATGACAACCCACCAGAATGCAATCCCTCTGCCTTCAGGTATGGAGTCTCTTCCTTGCCTTGGCRCTGCCTTGCTGCCCCAGACCAGTGTGAGGTCTAGGGCACATTCCCAGACCTGCAGCTGGAGGCTCAAGTGAACTTTTATTATCAGCCTGCCCATTGTACAGGGCTGCTGTCCATCACAACATATGGGTCAGATTTGGGGTTGCTTCCTCCATTGTTGCATATTTACATCTAGGATTTCACTTCGAAAATAAATCAAGGTTTTGGCATGTGATATATGAAGAATTCAAAAGGAGAAATATAAGTTGCTCTGACAGGAAATGTGTTTGTTTYAAACAGGAAAGAAGCAAATGAAAATACAGCTCCTGGGACATCGCTTGTTCATCTTAGAAATTACTGTAAAGATATTGATGTTGATCCATCAAACAACCAATTTGGTTTCACTGGATTATCTGGTTTTGGAAGCAATAACTTTGCTCTGGAGTCCACTGTGTCTGGAAGACTTGTGGTCAGTCATTTATGGCTTTATGTTAGAATATCCCATTAGAGAAGTCAACTTATGAAATATTGTGAGGGTTTTTWAAAATTCATTGTACCAGAAAAAAATAATTACTCTAATCCATTTCACAGGAGGTATGATGTGGAGAATGACTGCTTTGACTGGGTGAACTATATACCCCTTGATAGGATGCTTTCTAAGGATTCTACAGAATTTAGTGCACAGAGTCTGTTTTTTCCAGTTTTAAATAAATGTGCTAGATATGATTGAAAAAAAATTTCTTTTTTGGGGGAGTGTAAAACATCAACTCTGATATGGATAAACAGAGAAATTTTATGCTATTTCATACCCATTTACTCATGACAGACTGTGGAAGATCCTTGCTATTCAGCACGAAGAATTTAAATACTTGAGAAATCTCACACTCAGTAACTCAGTATTTGGTCAGAATTGTAAAACCACTTTGAGTGGCAAATTTTCACAAAAGTGTGGTGGGTTTTGCACTTCTGTGATTTTGCATGTCAAAATATGGATTCCTTATGCTGATRGCTGCTGGCAAACTTGCATTGGCCAGAACCCCACCAGTTCCTGGACACGTGCAATAGCGGTTGTTTTGTTGCTTTAAAAAGAACCGTGGGCAACTACAGAAAAAAAGGAAACAACAAAAAATAGGCATTCTGTCTAGAAGACAAGAGTGCTMTAGGAGCAGTATAATGATTTTGTATGTCTCACTTTAATTTTGACTYTGAAATTTCCTTGTCAATAAGCACTGCCCTTAGCTGGTTCATCTGCCAGCATAACAAGCATTTTCCTTGCTGCACAGGATAKGATTGTTGTCAATCTCTGTGTATGTACAGTGTAGCAGACTACGTGAAGCGACCTGTTCCTCCAGGAATSTCCCTGAAGAGACAACCAGCAGTGGATGCCTCTGTGTTTGTCCAGCTGCCCCAAAGTTTATGAGGCTTCTACARCAAGATAGAGAGCTCAGAACGTTAGGATTTAAATCTGTGAGAGCCACCATTTAGTAACAAATTGGTTTCTGGACTTACACTCGTGGATGCACCTGATACCTTTAGTTAATGTCTGCAGGCATGAGCTCAAGGAGTGACTATTACTGTTTAGCAATCACAGATCCTTGTTGAGCCAACACAGGGCAGGGTAAATGGCCAGCTCATTACACATCCTTTGAATTGACTAGGTAAAAGGTCAAGACCTTATGATCCAAGTGATAAAGCTTTCTGCTCTTAAAGGGAAGAAATTTTGTTTGCAGGAATGTGAGCCTGGAATTCAATCCTGGAATTGACTAATAGCCTGTGTTATTCCTATAGAAAAATTCTGTATATCACACTTACAGAATACTGAACATAGTAATTGTCATCATGTGTACTGTGACTTCACGCATGGAGCTATAAATATGATTGTGTTCCTTTCTATTTAGATGACTGGAACTATTGATTTAGAAAACCCATCTAATCGAGGAGTTGAACTTTATACTTTGACTGTCAGGGTGCAAGATATTGCCCATCCTAACTACTCAAGCAAGTATTCCTTTCACATTTCTTTTGATAATTTTTTGTGCTCTAACAGCAYAGAGAGAGGAATACCATATGTATTTTGAATTTATGCATGAGAAAATTTCACAGCCATACTTAACTATGATTTAATCTTCTGTTATATTTCCAGATATCATCTACATTTACATCAGAATAAGACCCGTGAATGAATTTTTTCCAGTTTTCAGTAATTTATCTTATGTATTTAGAGTTTCAGAAGTTACTAAAGGTACAGTAAATAGCACCTAAATGATAGAAACAATGTTGCCATGTTGYTAAGTGCCTTTTTCTCAAAATACATTTTCATATATGTAAATGAGGCAAATGGCTCAAAGTTCCAGTTCAGCTAGGGTCTCACCATACAACCACCTACTACCCTTAAATAGACTAAACTGGCAAAAACTCCAATTGTACAGATGGAAGCTGAGACACAGACAAACTCAGCAACTGCACAAGAAATCTGTGACAGTGCCAGGAACCGAACTCAGATGTCTTGTTTTAGACCGTCTTTCTGYTCTTGCTAAATTAGCCTTTTGGAGGGACTGTGGGGGTGCCTTTATAAACAGGAACCTTTATAAACTGACACAGAGGAGTGAGGACTCCCTTGGCCCAGCCAGGGTGCAATTCTGCTGAAGTTTTCTACAGACCCCTGTGTTTTGGTATTTACTGCTAGCAGCTCATGCACGGGGGAGCCGTAGCACACCAGAGTGAAATAGTGCTTCTCACACTGTTGCTTTAGTTTTCTAAACCAAATCTTTAGCTCAGTTTCATCAAGTTTTTGTTGAAACAAGTACTCTGTACCTTCTGTTCCTTTAAATGTTAATGAAATATGGGTTTTCTGTCTCTCAGTTGGATCCAGCATTGGAAGAGTGCATGCCATAGACAAGGACTTGCCACCCACTCTCATCACTTACTCCATTATAGCTGGAGCAGGCACAAGGGACTACACAAATATCTTCTGGATCAGCCCAACCAAAGGAGATGTGAGAATTTTAGCWAGATTAGACTACGAAACAACTCAGAAACATATTTTCACAGTACAGGCTTCAGACCAAGAGAAGTCTACCACAGCCTCAGTGAGTAAATCCACTCTACTTCTTCCCCTTCAGCTACATCTTTCCCTCTTCTTCTTGGCGAGAACACTAAGAYATTGGACCAAGCACTTGGGTTTGTAAAAGGCAAGTCTAACCCTACACAGTCATACATTACTCAGATGAAAGAGGTATTGTTCACTCAGTGCTGGTTTATTTCTTACAAAGAAAAGATAAAACTATATTTTAATCTTTTTAACTGTGGTTTTTGCTTGTCAGATTGTTTTTCTTATTTTATCTGGGCAGTGAAATTGCTTTCTGTATGCTAGACAATTTATGTCATTCTTTATGCTTACAGAGGTACTAGGAAACAGAACAAAGATAGGGTCTCAAGGCCAGTTAGCACAATCTAATTGTAGCCAYAATTAGTGACAAATTCTTTTTGGAATTTGTGTGGTGTCCCTTGGTCCTCAAACATACTTCTGATTTTGTCTGTGATTTTCTTTTCACTGCAGTGTCCAAAGCAATATAAGAATTGTGTTGCAGCCCATCAGAGCTGTGTTTTCATAGAGTGGTACAGAGAGGATGTGGATAGGAGGAGGGCTTGGGCAGCCTCTTGGGTTAATGTCAGAGGGCCAGCACAGTGCAGATGCGTCCACTTGGCCTGCTGGAGTTGTGCCTTGCCCTGATCATGGTCTGTTTTTTCCCTGATGGTGCTATCTGGCAGGAGCCAAGGCCGTGCCAGGTACCATGATAACCTTTAACAGCAGAGTTGTGCTCAGCTTTGCTGCCCAGACTATCTTATTCGGAAGAAAAAGTGCAGATGATATATCCACAAAGGTATTCTGTAGTCACTTCTTTCAAAAATCCCAGTGTCCTTCACAGACAGACTCCTTTTTACTTCTTTTCTCATTTTCTTTCTCATGACYGCTTTACATTTGATTTTTGCACATCTGTTGGGGGTGACACAGGTACCAGGCTTGCTTTTTATTCCAGCCAAGCACCACCCACAGAGTTGCTAGCTGGGAGGTATTTAATCTCTTTATCGTTTATAATGTTTCAAGGTGATGATGAATGACAATTTAGCATCAGAAGCTTATCTGTTGCCTGACTAACAGACATCAGAAGAGAGGACTTTGGGAAGGGTAACCTTTTTCTCTCAGCCAGCTAATCCCAGATGAYATCAAACACATCTGGTGTTACTCAGGGTGTCCCCAGCCATGCAGGGGGCCATTACCTGCTTTTCTCTCTGACTGGGAATAGTCTATCAACATTCTTCCTTCTATGGATCATGCTCTGAATGGTTATTAAATATGCTAAGAAGCTTAACTAATGATTCTGAAGCAAATTGAGAGTTTTGGAAGGGAGTTTTATGGTTATGTGGTACTATTATTATTTCTCATTTTATCTGTAACACTATTCAAGTTATTCAAACAGTCTGACATATCAGCTTGAAAACTCCTCAGTTTTGGAAGGTGGCTCAGGTTGAGGAACCTTTTCCCAAGAGAGTGCTGAACACAAGAAGAATTGAAGGACAAATGATCACAGACATTTTCTGGCAGGAGCTAGGTTTGAAGGGGACTTCAGCGCTCTTCAACAGTTGTTTATCAATAGAACAAATTGGCCAAAGCCAAATAGTTTCTGAAATTAATAACATTTTGGCTCGGCACACTGAAGCAGCTTCAGCTCACTATTGCTCATTTCTTCCAGGTAACTGTGAATGTTTTGGAAGTAAATGATGAAGAACCAGTTTGTTCACCCAATTTCTACTCACTTCAAATCCCAGTCAGCTTAGCTGTTGGGACCAATATTAATGGCTTCAGGATTGAATGTCAAGATCGTGATTCTGATCCCAGGTCTTTCCGTTACTTCATTAATGAAGGTACTGTGTCACACTGTGYGAGCTGGGAACGGTGAAAAAAACAGTGAATGCTGATGGCTCACTTACATTTATAAACAAAAATGTAACATAGCTTGTGTGCTACTTTTCATGGTGAGCTAGCTGTGAACCACAAGTTCTGCACRTCATTGTGTTACTGCTCCCTCCACAAGCTGGCTACTGGTGCTACTGGTGCTGGCAGCTAGAATCACTCCCTTTCAAGGCTGGATTGACTGTTGCATTCATTAATAAGCTATTAGTTACACAGCTTACAGGAACTTCAGAAGAATGAGCTGGAATGGTGTGCGAAGTCAAACTTCTCTTCCAATTACAGCTGAGTAAATCTTAAAAAATGATGGGAAATTCTGTTACTCTACATATCTCACCTGTAGATGCTGGTGCACTGTTCAAAACTGCTGCTGGAACCTGCATGTTGTAGGTCCATGATGCATGCAATAACCTCAATTAAGAACCCTCATTTGAATCTTGTGATCAACTGCATCCCCTTGGAGAGCTGCAGTAGAATGGAGTGACTCTCAGCTTCACTAAGATGGGAATGCACTCTTGGGGGCAATTCYTTCTTTTGTTGCTGTGAGGGAGGGAGCTGGTTGTCCAGGAGACACTAAAAAGCTCTGAGTGTCAAAAGAGATAATCTCTGTCCTCCTGCAGCCCCTTGATGCCACAGAAAGAGCTCTGCAGACRTGGCATTGACACATGAATCCATACAATGGCTGTGTTAGTAAATCAGTGTTTGACCATGGGCTCAGTCCTGGTGCTCCAGACCTGAGCTGTGCCGTGCGTTGGGTTCTGAGCCACAGAGCAGCTCATGGCTCTTTTTGTGCTGTAAAATAGGTATGGCCTTCAAGGTCATGTCAACTCTGGGTCTCTATGGGGCAACAAGAACAAAACCAATGCACATTTGGTGCCTTTTCAGGGCTCTGATCCCCTCTATGTGTGCTCTGTCCAGATCCTAACAGCTGAGGCTCGTCTACCTGCAGCTCAGGCCMTGAGCAGCTCTCCAGCTACAATGGACAGAAAACAAGGGGTGGGGASCCAGCATTTCCAAACTCATGTCCCTTCACCATGGCACTGATAAAGCTCTGGAGGCATTAACTCTCTTCTGGGGGCCCTCTTCAAAGGTCACTGCATCTGGGCAGAGGGAGAAGCCATGGAGAGGGACGGGATTGACATTCCAGGGACACTCCATTAGTGGAATGAGCCCTGTCATGGTGCAGGGTYCTCACCACAGCTGGGTTTTGTTGAGTTCTCCCCAGGCTGTAAGGACATTCAGGTAACTTCTTGTGTTCCCTATGCTCTGAAGTATTTCCACAGCCTCCTCTCAGCTATGTCCCTATAGAGGGTCTTGTTCTATATTGTAATGCTTTTATGACTGTATTGTTTTAAATTGTTTTATATGGAACAAGGAAGGTCAAATTGACCTTCTTGCCATTGGTATTTCACCACACCTCATCACTTATTCCACACATCTACTTTAATGTGGGATTCAAGTACATTTTTTGGCATGTTGGTGTTACCTTTCTGCAGGAAATGAGAACAGTCATTTCACGTTTTCACCAAGTGCTGGCTCCAACACATCTCGGCTGATTCTTGCATCAAGGTTTGACTATGAGAGTGGAATTGATACAAACTGGATTTACAGTCTGCGTGTCTACRTAACAGACGACAATTTACTGTCTGMCAGGGACAAAACTACACGCTTAATTAAAACTGGGACGGTGACTTTAAGCATCAGAGTCATCCCAAACCCAACTACTGCCACTACCAGTACGGTAAGTTCATTAARACTCATGTCCAGTTCTGCTTTTATGGGCTAATCTCCCTAGGAGGGAAGAAAAGAGAATAGATGTATGCAAAAGGAAAGCAAAAATTTAGAGTGCATCTGGTCCTAGGAAGTTCTGAGCCCTGAACTCTTTCGATGAAACCAGAGGTGGTTGATGTGCTTGGTGTCATGAAGGATTAGTCCCAGGTACAGAGCCATAACATGTGTTTTGTATTTCAGTTTCTGAAACAAAAAGGGCAGGAAGCCAAAGGACCGGGCACGCTGCCATTACCATACAACTGGAAAGTTAAAGCTTTTGGCAGCTTTATTAATAAGGAAAGAGAAGGGATTAACCTTTGCCTGGAACCTTAAAATTACCTCATGCATTTTGCACTACCTCTTTTTTTTATTCATAGCTATTCACTCCCCCAGCTGCCTTGCACTTCTGTGTGCTTCTTTAACATTGCAACACGTTAATCTGTGTCTACCAAAGATGAAACAGACAACAACAATAATAACAAGAAAACTCACCACTTGGAAGGGTCTTTTTTTCCATCCCTGAGGTCACTGTCATGTAAAACTTGGAGCAGCCTGTCAGGAACTGAAGCAGTTGTGCACAGCCTCAGAGTATTGCTGAGGTTTCAGCAGGTCTCAGGCAGCAAATCCAGAAGGGTGGATGGGTCTTTCCTGAGCTCCCTGCCCATATGATGGTCCATAGCTGAGCTGGGGAAATCTGCACAGCTTATGGCAGCCTGGATGGGATCTAATCTTGCACAGCCTGTGGAGCTGTGGGTCYCAGCAATACAGTTCACTCTTCTGCACAACCACCTCATCTGAGCTCTGGCTCACCAATTTGATTTTGGAGTTGATTTCCATCAGGCTGGTGCAGGATGTGAGGAGAGCTTGTCTGTAGATGTGACATGGCCTGAGGGTRCAGACCACTCTGTCCCTATTCTCGCACCAGTCACTCCTCCCTGCCTTGCTGCACCATCTTCCATCACCAGAGTCCAGTCCCAGCCTGCAGATGGCATTACCYTTTTTCTCTTGCATGCAGGAATGAAAATATGAGTACCCAAGTGAAGTGGTAAAAGGGGTCTTCACTGTAAAATGGTCTGGATCTTCCAGAGGCTACTCAAAACTGAGCCAGAACCAAAGGATCGTGCAAACAGCACATACAAGTCTGGTTGCTTTGCTAAGAAAATACTTAGATCCAAATTTCCAGACTGATTAATAACCCTGTTATTATCTAATGCTCTGTTGGGAAGGAATAAATGAATTTTTTCTCTGCCTTCTACTCCCCCTACTTGATGTGGAATTGAAAAGTTAAGCTGAACAAACTTATTCTGTATTTCTTTCCCATGCTTTACCACAAATACAAACAGTCTCAACCACATACCACTGCATTAAATCTGTCTCCCCAGAGATATCAGCCTTCCACTTTCAGGCTATTTTCCAGAAGAATACTTCCATTACAGCAAGTTCTCCCAGCAGCTCTCCCCCACTGCTCTTTACATGTGTTCAGTGCAGCAACTTGATGAGTCAGATACTGGAAAGCTGGTAGTGTAGAAAAGAAGCTCTATCACTAAAAGTCACTTGTGACTTCATTCCAAGTGAGGATAAAGTGGTGGTAGTGGTGATATTGAGATTATTTGAGAGTTTCTCTAAGGATTGGATGTATCTTTTTTTTTGATAAGACTAAATAGGTTATTTTAAAATTATTCTTRAACTGGGAAGAAATAGATACCCTGGTAAACTTCATACTCAATGTGATTACACATGCCTTACAGAAAATTAAATAATGATCAAAACTAGTAGTACCCCACTATGTAATGAACCAGGTAGAGCAAATGAGTAATTTCTGAAAAGTGTGAGGATAGTTTCATGTTGGGACCTTAATGAACGAGTTGCTAGCATCAAGTGATGTGCCAACTCAGAGATGTGTCTTCTGACACTCAGGAAGATGYGGGAGATTGCAACTGCTCAGGAAGTGTGAGTGTTTTCCCTTCTGGAACAAGTCACAGGGTAAAAAAGAAGGAGTTTCATTTCTTTTTATACAGCAACCCAGTTCCTTAGGGTTCAAGTCCTCTTACAAAGCAGGCTRAATGATCACTGCAGCGAAGATGACCTACTTCCAGTTTTGCCTTAGGTAATAAGAAAACATTATCTGTGTAATGGCAGTATTCCCTGAACTTGCCCACCCTYCAACAGTCTGCTCACAGCCTCTCAGGCAACCCGAGGCTCTACCACGACATCCTTGTTTTAATATAAGATATTGAAACATGACCTGGAACCTCCCCTTTGCCTTGTGGGTGGGCTCCATTTCACCTGCCTTTGGTTTCCCCAGGAGCTCAGTGGTCCATCCCAGCCACCTGAGCAGCCTTGGCAGCCAGCAGGCAGGCATGTGGGGTGAATCGTGTCTCCAGCAGACACCATCTCCCCCTGCCCATCATCTGCAGAGCTCTGGGGCAAGCTYGGGCTGGTGCCTCAGTGAAGCATTTCAGCCAGATGAAAGGTGCTGTTGGTGTCAGTGTGAGGCCTTGAGCAACTCTTCCTGTCTTGTTTTAAAAGCCTGGCTTCACTCTTGTGACAAAAAGAGAAAACATCTACTCTGGCTCAGCGTGGTACGTGCCCTTCGTCATCACCCTGGGCAGTTTGCTGCTCCTCGGACTGCTGAGCTACCTGGGGCTGCTGCTGCTGGCGTGGCTCCGTGCCCACTGCCCTCCGGCTGGGACAGCACATGGCACACCTCTGTGAGTCCTCCATGGCACGGTGGGGGAGTCCCCTGCAGCACCTGGCAATGACAGAGATGGCTCAGGCCTTTCAGCCATGATGATATCGATGCTTTTAATCTTTTACTGTGCTGTAGTAAATGCTAATATGAGCTAYAGTTATATTTGGTGTTAATGACATGAAATCAAGGAAATGTGTCCACGGCATTTTTTTCGTGGGTTCAGTAATATTAGCATTAGCTGAAGGTAGAAGTGGAATTAGCAATTATGACCTCTAAAGGCAGCTATGCTCCTGAGGCTCAGTCAGAGCCGCTGCCAGACTGTGTTGACCACAAATATTTTGGTTTGCGTTTGACCCCCACTCCAAAAGAGCTCCCATCTAGGTACTTACTGGATGCATTTTCCTTCCTCTCAGCTACAGATCCCTGTGTCCTTTGCAAATATTGGTGCTTGTGCCAAATTCATTGTTCTGGCAAAACTTATGCAGATTTCCTGGAGTTTTACCCAAGCCAGTTACAAGGCTCTGGCCCATAAAGCTTCACAGTACCTCTAAGTGCTCGTGCTTGGCAAAAGATGTGGAAGCACCTGGGACCAGCTCTGAGTCACTGTGGGAAGTGCAGAAGTCCCTGCTGGCTTCCTTCTCAGTGGGCTGGAGCCAGGCTGCCTCTAAATTGACTTTGTGCTTCACAAAACAAAGATAAGCAGCCCTTTAAGTGGCTGGGATAAAAAAATAAAAAGGATTTCTACAAGTATTCCCAGGATTTGGACATCAATTTAGAAGYTACATTAAATGTAAAGAGGTACTGTATGACTGTGACTACAGTTCAAATGGTGTGTGTAAGGCATTTAGCAGCTTGTGATAAAAATGATGAATGAATCTACTGCTATTATTTAGTAATAGGGCAAATGATTTATTGGGAGCCAGGCTATCCCATTAAAAAGCAATTTCTATATTTTCAAAAACATTTACAGCCTTTCAAATATTTTAAAAGGTATTCTCTGAGCAGATCAGATCCAAAAAATTGACCTTCCTCCAAGGATGGAACAAAATGACAATATCTGAAAATATGTTTTTCCAGATTATATAAATCCATTATGCTCTCATCATGAGACTTTATTATTTTAATAGCATTCCTTCTTGAAGAAGTGTTAGAGCAATGCTCAGGCTGTTTTCCTGTTTGAGAGCAGCATTAAATGATACAGACTTTCAGTGAAAGCAAAACCAGAAACCAAACCAATCAAGCAAATCTCAGCACTGAAGGAAAYACATCCTTCTTGCCAAGTGAAAGAGAACTAAAATAATGATTTTTTTATGTAGACAGAACTATGACATTTGTTAACTCCATTCTTAATCTTCTTTCCATTACAGGATAAATGCTCCAGGTATGTGCCTCTTTGCTATATTTTGATGCTTCAAGAGAAGACCTTGTTTATGATTCAGTGTAAAATTTGTAAATTAATTTCTAGATATAAATTTGGCACAGTACAAAGGTACTGAGATTAGTTAATTCTGGCCAATTATGAGAGGCCTGACAAAGTAACTCCATGGCCCTTTTAGTCTTCAAATCTATTTACAATTAGGCAAAAACCAAATTCAGAGTAGTATGGTTTCTGGCCAGGATGCTAAAGAATTACTATATTTTTCACACACAATTTATATGCTATCTGTTACAAAATAATCACATCCATCTATAACACCTTCAAGAGTCCTCTCSACTCTAATTCCCTGTTCTCTAATCCCTTTGTTTTCTCCCTTGACACCATTTCTTCATGTACATAAAGATTTATTTTGAAGTATTGGTGCTTTAGAAAGKGGTTTGTATAACTGAGCAGGGATATAAATTTCACATGGAAAAGAGTGGTTTTTTAAAGCAGTCTCCTTCCTTTTAGTCCCATTCGTTTTCTGCTAGAAAACATTGTTCATATGGGCTCAGTAGGACCCTGCTTTTGTAATGCCCCTTTCCTCAGTCAGTGTTTCCCAAATGGAAAAAACACATGACTAACAAACCCCACAAAATTAGCTGTTCTCTTGGTTGCCCAATTTGAGACATTTCAGTGTTGGCTCGTTTCCAAAAAATGAATGCTTTTTGCTTTCTGAAAAACTGGTTCCCAAATGCTGGGCAGCAAAGGCCAGACTCAGGTTGAGATCCACCTGCAGCACTTCAGAGTTTTGCAYGCCTGGCTGAAAAACACATCTGTGGCCAGGCACAGTTCTCCAAAGAAGGGCCATTAAACAAACTGGCAAGGAGTGAGCAAGAAGGAATCAGCAACTAGTTGGGTATTGCAGCACAAATCCATGCTGTCGAGATGTCCATGGCTCTGCTGCTGTATTTGTTTGCATGTGGGATGAGTTAATAGTGTGGTAAATTCACACACAACCAAACTGTTCTTCGATCTGAAAATTACTGAAAATGCAGTGCTTCTGTGTTTTGTCTCCAAGCAGATATATGACACAAGCTTTGAGGCTAAAAACATTCATGGAAAATAATACTCTACATTTCTAGTTCAGATATTCCCAAAGGTGAATTTTCTATATATGTTTGTATTATTTAGAAAGGGAAATCTGTTTAATAAACCACTGTTATTCATTCATTACTAACTTGTCAAGGCTAGACTTTTGATTAGTCATTGGCAACCGTGGATTTCATTCAGCATCTGAAAAGAAATAAGACTCATTTAAGCACTCAGCATTTGAGTAGCAAAAATGTCTATTTATCTGAGGAAATCTTGGCTTTAGTGTCTATAGTCACAATCAGAAAATTCTGATTATTAACATGCACTTTTCTTTCTGTAGAAAAGAAGAAGCCTAAGAAAGAAGTGATTTTGGTAAGTAATTCTGGACTGAAAACAAACCCCAGTTTTGCCAGCCCCATCATACAATATGATCATAGGACCCTTTCTATGAAAGCTGTCCATTTTCCAAAGACAATATAAAAATGACAGGCAAGAAAAAAAGGATTGCCCTGGAACACTTCAGTGCCCCAACTGGCCTGAGTGTTTGGAAGCAGCACTGGATGTGAAAGGTGCCCACCTGCACTGGGGCCCCTTTGCTTCCAAGTGCCAAAATGCTGTACTTGAGAGGCCAGACAGGCTGTRCCCACAGCAATGACAGGGAGATTGGCTGCAGGGGTAGGGTGACAAGTGCCCCAGCTTCACTGATGGCAGTGGTCACTGCTGAGACACCACTGAGCTGTGCAGCCAACTCTGGCCCASCTGACTGCACCCAGTAAGACACACCAGTTTACCCAAGCTCTAGAGAGTTTGGCCTTGATAAGCTGTTTGTAGCAAACAGTCATAGCTATTCCCGCTGTTGGAAATGTTTCTTCATTCTTGGATCTTTGGGCTCCTTCCTTTTCACAGTCATAATTGCAAAAAAGGCAGTAATGCTCTCAGGCACATKCTGTGATTCCTGGAGTGACCCTTTGCATTCCAGCAGCTGGACTTCGATGATCCTTGTGGGTTYCTTCCARCTCAGGATATTCTGTCACTCTATGCAAGGCATTTTGATGAGCAAACTCTCTCTCCTCAGGTTTTTCAGAGAGGGGATTCCCAAGCCTACTCTGTCTGGAGCAGACCCTCTTGTGCTTACACATGTGGAGRCATTTAGTATGCCAGACCTTATTAATTCTCCTTTGCCTAGTGGCAAAACCCTACACCACAAATGGATCTTGTTGGCAGTTTAGAGTAAACCCAGCCTAAAGGAACACAATACACGGGTCATAAAAATCCATCTCCATCCATGTAGGTCACCATTTCCAAGTCACTGTTCCTCCTTCTGACKGCAGTAATTCACAGGTTTCATTTCACATTTTGTGTTTCTTCACAGATGACAAAGCTAAACACTGTCTTTGATGGAGAAGCCAGAGACCCAGGTAATAAAAGGCAATTAACAGGGGATATGAATATTAGGCTGGAAACAAATGGGATTARTTGATTTAAATATGGCTCGACATTGGCTTTTCATATTTCAGATTTGCTGTTTCCAAGGAGAATGAGAGCTATATCTCACAGATAGTGAAAATCAGTAACATTTGTAATGGTAGAATATACTTATGGCCCTTAAAGCACACATCTGATGCTCAGACTGTTCACTATTCCTCTGCTAAACTGGAATGTATGGATGTGGTATAGGAAGGTGATGGGGAGGAGGAATTTGCCACAAATCTCTCGCTCTGGTGCTGTCATATCTATGTGGTCTCACCTTTTCCATGTCTGGGAAATGGCCAGGGGATTCATGTCACWGCAGAAGTACTGCCTTTGTCTCTTGAACCTCTCCCTGGATGCAGGGTGGGTGGGTGAGTTACTGGCTGCTGCACAGGCTTCCTCCCTTGCAGCAACGGTGCATTGCTGCTGTTTATCCAAGGCTCAAGCATCGCTTGCTAGGGAAAAAAGGGAAGGCCATCAGCTGGCAACAGATACTGAGTGTGTCACCAGGCTCCAGCTATGCTAACTMTGAGCATATCTGATTAACCAGTTGGGAAAAGCAAAAATAAGGAAAAAGCTACAAACCTCATGAWGATCTGGGAGGTGTGTGCTTATGCAGCTCCCCGAGTGACAGTCACTGCTCTGCAGCAGGACTCATTACACAAGAAATATGTTTGTTTTCTCGAGGGTTGATCTGGCTTACCTCATTCCCCCAAAATACAGCCCCTGCCTGAGCCACTTRCTTTGATGTTTGGCCTGGAATTAGGGTGCCCAACCCTGTGCCTAATGGATGAAGGCCCCAGCATGGAGACAGGGGGCTGAGAAAACGTGACACTCGGTCAAAATAGGTCTTTAACAAATAGGTCTGAAAATAAGTCTGAAACAGAAAGGTCTAGAAATTATCCAGAAGAAGGGTGGCTTGTTTCAAGGCTTGGATTCATCTGGCCRATTTCCACCCCAGTGCCTGTAACTTGTGTTTTTTATTAGCTGGCTTAGAGCTGTTGGATGCCTTGAGCTAATGGGAAACACTAGGCATRGAGACTTCAGTACAATTTGGGCAAAAAAGTGGGACCCTACTGTGCAATTAAGCCCATCCACAAGGCTGCTCAGAGCCAGTTTGATCCAGGTCCAAGCCTCACCTGCTATTTATAAAGAGATCTGGAGGAATGGGCTCCAAAATCCCTGCTATTTTTTTCCCTATGTAACTGCATTTGTGACATATTAAACATGGCTAGTCTCCAGACTGCTGCAAGAGCTGCCTTCCAGTGTTCTTGCAGGACAGCTGGGGCTCCCTTTCTCAGCAAACATGACCACACTGGACTGAAGGATACCTGAGCCCAGCCAAGCTGTCATCCAGAGCCATGGCATTTGTGTCATTTCTGACCCTAACCTTAAGCTGTAACACACTGTGCTCCCCACTCTTCCCCTCTCTTCTCCACATCTCATCCCAAACCCTAGAAAATTAAAGGTTGCTTGTTTGGAAATGAGACTTAATAATTCCCAGGAATTATCTCTTGAATATGATTAAGAGGGATGGCCAGAAGCTGCTTCCTGATCTGGGCTGCTTTAACATGCCCACCTTGTTAGCAGTCAGAGRAAATAACATGTAAAGAGATCCAGTTTCATCTTTAGTTGCTCAAATCGTGCTAATGTGTCATAAACCATTAATTCTGATACAAACTGCAACGTGTAGTGACATGTAAACACAGTTTCTTTCCAAGCCTTGATGGTCTTTTGTTTGTCTGTTACTAATGTTTAATTACAGAAAGTGTCGTTACACCTCCTGATTCTCTGTTTAGCAAAACACAGTGGTTTAGACTGTGAGGCAATCACACTGGACACACAGAATTTTTTTCAACCTATCTCTAGGTAGCAATGAACTGAAGGARAAGATATTTGCTTTTAACATACAAGTAGAAGTGATCCATGAAACCTGAACAGAGACAGAAATCTGACAGGCAAAGGTAGCCATGTGTGCTAAAAAACACAAATTTAACAATATTTAACATATATGAGAGAATTATGTACTTGTGCAAAAGACATAGAATTCCACTCTAAAGTATTTTGTGCAAATGGAGAAGGAATGTGTGCAGCCAAGACCCTCTGGAGAGCCTGGACCTGTCCAGATATGGGCACAGACATAAAATGGTCTTGCTCTGTATGGCTAAAGACAGAAATTGTGTCCTTATAACTATGGATGTGTTTGTTACACTGCCCATGTTAATCCCTGGTAGCTGGAACTTAGATTGATAGGGTGATAAGAAAGTAGGGTTGGGTTTTTTTTTTTTTTGTTTTGTTTTTTTTTTTTTTTGTGGTTGTTTTTTTTTGTATTTTTTTTGTTTTGTTTTTTGGTTTTTTTTGTTTTGTTTTGTTTTGTTTTGGTTTTTTTTTTTGTGTAATGGGAATGTTTTAAATATTGCAGTTGCCAGAACTGCAGAGGCAATTCTTTTAGTGGCAGAACAGCCAGCATCTCCTCTGAACGGCCACTGCAAACCCAGGACCCACAGAAATGAGGCTTTCCCTCTCGGGGCCACCTCCCCAGATCAGCTGAATTCCAAGGGCTTCACATTTCTCATTTCAACCCTATGCTGAGAACTGCCATATCTTAATCTGCTAAATCAAGAACGATTTTAATCTGTTATCTTTTTGTTCTTACAAGTTACTGGCAGAATGTACGAATTCAATACACGGTCAGGGGCCCGGAGGTGGAAGAAGAGCCATGAGCCCCTTCAGCCAGCGCTGGCTGTGCCGGTGACATCCAGTGCCACAGACAGCAGTGGCCAAGGGACAGATAGAGCAGAGGCACCAAGCAAAAAGGAGCCTTCAGAGAAGAGGAAAGAGCTGACTGCAGCCACAAAACCAGCTGCCAAGCCTTCAGCAGGGCAATCAGAAACACCAGGCCAGGCTGGGTTGAGACTGCAGAAGAGCAAAGAGGAGTCTGAGAACAGGGGGTTATCCTCACCAACCCCTGAAGGCAGGAACTGACCTCCTCTCCCAAAACAAACAAACTCTGCTTTTCTATTAAGCTGGAGTGCATGAGACTCCAAGGCACCTCCCAACTGACCCYTGATCTGAGCAGCCAAAGAATAAGATGTGATTTTTCTCTCTATCTCAGCTGTAAAACAAAAGGTGGCCATAAGGTGTGTAAACCGGACCCAAAGGCAGGATGAAACTGGATGTACTTTTGCCAGGTGCATGTAAGGGCAGAAGAGGAGGAAAAGAAGTAAAGTCATGGGCAGAAGCATTCAGTGGTCACTGCCTCCTACAGATGCTGGCAGTTTCCTCTGAGAAGAGCTCTGCACCTCCAGCAGGCACGGCCACATCCTCTGACTGCCTTTGGGCATGGCAGCGCACACTGATGTGCTTTTCTCACCAGTGAATGGGATCTTCTGTCCCTTCTGAACACCCAAATGTGTGAAAAGCACATCAGGGTAGAAATGTTTGCTGTTAAAGCTAAAAATATTTTCTTTTCATTCAGTATTTTATTTCAGCCCTTTCTTGCCCTCCCATATTGCTGTAGAAAAGACCAAGAAATGGCTTGAAAGCAGTTCTGGAGCAGCGAAAACCCTCAGCTTCTTGTGAAATCTCAGGCTGTCATGTCAACATTTTCMGCTTATTTATCTTTTGTAACACTAACAGCATTCAATATCTTCACCTTTGGTATTTCCTCTGGCAGATTTAATGCTTTACRGAATCAAGTGGAACATACTCAAAGGAATAATGACAGTAAACACACGAGGTGAAATAATCTTTTCTGAGTGTAAGCATGTATAATGTAAGTGCTGTCTAAGAACCTGATACAAAACAAGCAAACTCTACAAGATTTTATAAAATTATTTTAATCTGAAGAAAAATAATTATAAATGATGGCTTAATGCTCCATGTCTTGACTTGTTTTCTTTCCTGATTGCAAAGAAGTTTTTTTGACCTCAAGGGACTGATATCAGGTGGCAAAAGAAAATCTTGGTTTAAGTTGAGCAGGGGTGGCCAATGAAGATTTTATTCAGTCTGTCACATACCGACTGAATATTATACATTTGAAGGCATATCCTGTGTTGAAGGATACCTGAAGGACCTGGATGGAGAAATCCACAGTAATATCACCAGGAATCCTACACAGCACAAAACCACCTGTCATGGTGCTGAGACTCTTTGCTGTGTTCCAAAGGAGTGGCTTGGCTTGGGAGCAGCTTCCCTAACAAACACCAATCATCTTCAKTCAAATGCCATTTCATTGCACAATCAGAAACCCAGCATGTAATGAACACCACAACGACAGAGATAGGAAAGAGTAATTTATACCCTCTGAGTATGTTATCATTTACTGTGTCCATGGCAGTTGTCATAGCTTTGTTTGAGCCTCCAGCACCGACAGGGCCAGCCACACATTCAGTGCTCCGACCCACCCTTGTTTGCATTTGTTAGCTGTAAATATAACACATTCAATTTCTGTGCAGGTGGTTTTGCAGGGACATAGAGAAACTCTGCAGTGACTGATAATATTGCTGTAACTCTAATTTTCCTAGAACACTAACACCAAGCTGCCCATAGGCATGTCTGGCACCTACAGACCTTAAATTTTGTTACCTGAAGAAGTTAACTGCATTATTTTCATGACAGGAAGACACACAAGCATTTGTRCTTACTTTCCTGGGCATTTCCCTAGGGCTGCTGCTTTGCTTCCTTGATTATTCTCATTCTGCTTCAGTGATTAAGTCATAAATACTTTTTTTTTTTTTTTTTTCCCCAAGGGAAGGCAGAGACAGACTATAGTTTTGGCCACAAAACCTGCAAAGAGGCAGATGAATACTCATCTTTTTACTACTGTTCCTGCTGCTGAACTGCACAAACTTATTTCCTCCCTTCTTAGGAGAAAACCCCAAGAGCAGCATAAACTGCAGGCTCTGAACTTAGTGTTTGCAAACRCAATGTCATGGCCAACGCTGCTGGTGCCATGGTATCCCACAGCTGGGCCACAGCTGGGTGAAAAACAACTGCTCTTGTAGTGGTGCCCACATACTCCAGTCTCAGAACAACTGACAGCTGAGCACAGAGGAACCAGGGAGATAAGAGATGCCAGACCCAAGCACTAACACTGCCCAGATTGCCTGCASCCAGCTGAGGTGGGTTTAGCAGGTGTACTAGCATTTGAGGGTTTAAAGAGGATAAAGTGTCCTGTGAGCCCCATGCAACTTTCTGTGTGAGGAGAGAAGTGTGCTGGCCCCAAAGCACAGCTTCTCTCTTCCTTTCCCTGTTGCTTCCATGTATGTAATGCTGATCTCCAGCTCCAACTCATTTTCCACCCTAATCTTCCCTATCAAACCTTACTTTGGACATGCATRAGACTACTTTTCTTGCTTGGGATCTACAAAATCAGAGAATAACAATGTTTCATGAGAGCATTAGCTTTATGGAAAAGTGGAATCGTTTTCCTAACAGCTGCCCCTACTACTATCAATGCTCCTCCCTGTGATGGAACCAAGAATGAATTCAGGTCTCATTGAGCCAAAGCACATCTATGCATGTCTCTGGTGGGTCTTTGGTAGGACAAAAGCAGAGAAGGCAGAACTCACGGACCAATAGGTACACTTGTTACTTACTGTATCAAACAACATGTGAAAAGATACTTTGAATGTATGTAAAAGCAACGTAATTTTTTTTCATAAAATAGAGGTTAGAATACACTGTGCAGTACAGCTTTAAATGTCAGAATCCTCTTCTCAGAGGAGCTTTTGTGCTTTTTTAATTCAGAAGTGTCTTTTGAGAACACAGAGTAAGTGACTAGAACTRCCACTAGATGGACTGAGAGCAAAGATTAAGTGCAGCTCTCCACARTAAAAACATTTGATTATTGGAACAATTAGCTGAGACCATGGGGCCTTTCCATCATTTGAAGGCYTCAGAAGTCAAGAACGTCTGCTGTGTGCTGTAGACGGTCAGATTGGATGACAGGAACAGCCTCTCCAGTCTTCAACAGCCCTGTTAGTCTCTGTGCACACAGACACAAGGTGTGAACTTTGGTGCCATTTAATTCAGATGATGACTCTGGTAAGCTGAGCCAAGATGAGGAAGAAAGGCACCCGGTGCTTCAAGCAGAGTGGCTGGGGGCAACAGTTCCTAACCTACAGCTGCCTATTACATGTTATGCAATAATTTTATCTGAAGTCTGCAATAATCAGTGTGAGCTCGACCACAGCTTTTGATTGTTGTGTCTCCACCTATTACACATCTCTGAAGTGCTCCCAGACCTGTGGATTGACATTGCTCTGAAAGTTTCAAGAGTGATTGGAAAAGGTCACTTTTCACTTTTCATGACTGGGTCTATTCCCCCACCAGTTCATGTATGATCACAGAGGAGTTACTGGGGTTTTTGTGTTTTTCTCCAAAGTGAATGTGCTTCTAATGCATAAATGCTCTGCTTCCATGCTGGTGCTATAAATAGCATTTGCAATAAACATCACAAGTCTCAGCTTCTGGCAATGTAACTTCATTTAAATTAGGGAATATAAGAGTGCTGGTACTTTATTTCTTCATGGCCTCAAAGAGACCTACACAGGAGAGCAACTTCAGCTGCAGAGATGGAGAATGTCTGCCCAGGCAGCTGCCGCTTGGTGACTGCTCACTAGGAGCAGGAGATGGTGTTTGGATCACCTCAGAGAAGGAGGGTCAGACACAGGGAGCAATCCTTCTCCTCCTGAGCAAAGAATCTGGCTGCTAGGGTGTTTTACAAGACACAGATTGCAGCACCATAATGTAACTAACATGTTAACAGCAAGCAGCCACAACTGCACACTGCACATGGCCCAGCTGATCAGGGCCCTTTGCARAGCTCCTGCTGGAAGGCTGAGCACAGGTTTGGTCCCCACTGGGCTCCATCTGCACATGCCTTGTCTGAACCCATCCCTGCAAGCTCCGCAGGTTGTCACAAGGGACAAAGAGATGCTGGGGGTTACTTATTAAAAAGCAGACATCTAGAATAGATCAGATGAGCTGTGCCCWGAAAGCAGCTTTTTCTGGATGCCTAGATCAGATATCAATGTCTAYAGAGTACACACAAAGGTAAATCAGCTGAGGCTCAGTGAAGGTTGTTCAGGTGAGGGCAGGTCTGTACCTCTGCACCAGTGCCCGAGGAAGCTGAAAATGAGGGAAGAATTGAGCAAGGAGGTCAGTCGGGCTCTGCTGCTGCCTGCTCAGATCGCAGGAGGAGATGGGGCACCACCCACGCTTTGTCAGTTCTCCAAGGTCTGCAGGATGCTTTCTGGGACCTTCTGGGGGTAATTCTGCATCTGGAAGMATGTCATGAGATGTGCTTCAAAGCAGCTCTGTAGAAAAGTATGGGCCTGGCCGGCAGAAGTGAAAGTTGAAGATGTGAAATAGAAACTTCAGCAAATTTCTGCAGTGAGCTCTGCATTATTGAGTGAAAGACACATTCACAACAAAATAGATAAATACATCTAATTTTGAATGGTATTGACAGTTGGTACCACTCTGCAGCTCTCTGGTACCTAACTTTAGCTGCTGTGGGTCAATAGATGCCGGGGATTTGGTTTTGAGGCATGGGTCGTGCTTAACTTCGGAGTCTTGAGAAGAGCAGCTGGTGAATGACAGGGACAAGGCACGGCTGTATCCACACACGTGGCGCAGCCCGGGGCACCGCACCCCGTGAGGGGGAGGATGAACAACCCCAGAGACAGGGAAGCTTGGGCCCGGCCCTCGCCCCAAGGCAGCACGGCTGTGTGCGAGCAATACCGCCGAGCGCTGCTCCTGCTGCCGGGGCTCCCGCAGCGCTCCCCGGCTCCCCCAGCCATCCCCCGACCCTCCCCCGGCTCTCCCCGGCCCTGCCCGGGCTCCCCCAGCCCTACCCGGTCTCTCCATGCTCGCCCTGCCCGCAGCTCCGCGGGTAACCCCGGCCCCAGCCCCAGCCCCGACCCGGACCGGCGGCCCCGGGGGCTCCTCTCGGGCTGCCCCGCACCGGCACCGGGCCCGGGCAGCGCAGGGACGGCGGCTGCAGGACCCGTCAGAGAGGGAGAGACAGAAAGAAAAGCGAATTTGAGAAAAACGAGGGAAAAGAGCCGGGCCGTAAGGCACCGTAGCAATGCAGGCGTGTCCGGAAAGAGATGATCCCCTTATAGGATTAATCCGCTGCAGAGCGCGCTGGGTCACTCCAGGAACAATCAAATGACCTATTTTCGGTTTGCTTTGAGCTCTTCCCTTTGCCACACTGAACTGAACMGATTCCTTGCTGTTTATCTGAGACACAGGTGGATGCTCATGTACTTCATCAGCTCCTCTTTTACATCCGTGCAGACTGGATGGAGCCAGCAGGCAGGGAAGGATGCTCTGGCGGCTCTCTGCACAGCCATGGTCACCAAATCAAGAAGGAACCATATTCAATCCATTTTCACACTGAATTTCTAAACGCTCCTCCCTGCAATATCCAGCCTGATCACATCTTCCCACTTCATGCAAGCAGCATAACCACACTGACACCTAGAGAGGAGACGGAGGTTTCCCTCTTAGCTACCAGCACCAGGGCGAGCTGTCTAATGGCCTTACTCTGAAACATCCTTAGAGATGAGAAAGCATGCAGACTTATGGGAGAAGCATCGAGGGCATCAGACACCCCCAAAATTCTATTGGGGGGGGGGGGGGTGTAGATAGGGGAATCAGTCTGGAAAAGTGACAGCGTTCAAAGAGATTGACATGAACACCCGTTTCTGCCAGTGACCTTCTCCCAAAGGGTATTTCCTAGTTCTTGTACCAAAATACAGCAGCATTTGCCTGCTATCAAATATCAAAAAGTAAGGACTAAAATCCAGATATGAAATCTCACCTATTCAGCCACTACCCAGCTCTGAAAGTGTATGAAGAAATTTGACACCTTGTTCTGTCAATCACGACTCCAAAAGCCTCCCCAAATATCTGAACACGACATTTGAGYGTGCCCAGGGAGACCAGAGTCCCACCAATGTCCAACAGCAGCACATCAAGCTCAGTGATAAATAAACCCCAGTGAGGAATTTCCTGAACTGCTTTGCCTGATGCCAGGATATGTTTTGACATCTACCAACCGCAATGGCACTGGAGGGGATGAGAGGGGAGGGGAAAGTACCTCTCCCTGGCTGTCTGCACAGGGGATGGTGTCTGTGGAACAGCTGACAACAAACCCACTGTAGGGCACCCTCCAGGACCAGCAGAGCTGCAGTTTGTACCTTATCCCCATTTGTCCCCTCCCTATCACTGTGATGCATGGAGTGAGGGAGCCAGCTCGGGTGATCAACAAAGAACTGAACTAAAGACATTTCAGGACAGCATTTCTGGGTTGTCCGGACACAACAGTCAGGACAAAGGTGGATGCTCCCAGGGATTTCCTCATGCACAGCCAGGGTTGAATCAGTACCATGTTCTTACATGCTCCTGGAGAGATCCTGCCCCAGCACTGAACCAGAAGCTTTTCCTACAGAGTTAAAAGAGCATGAACTTACCCACTTAACAAAATTAAGCAGCAGCCAGCCCCAGGGTGCCTCCAGCCTGAACTTGGCTGTAATCACTCTGCTGGCTCTTCTTGCATGAAAGATTCACTGTCCTTTCAGCTTTGTTAGCTGTAGGTCATGGCAGGTGGTTGCAACTGAATGGCAGCTCAAGGGATTAATCCAGAAGGAACTGATCCTTCCCAGTCCTGCCCATTTTGGGGCACCAGCGCATATGCA